AGGGCTAAGCTTAGTCTCTGTGTAGGTGCTGTGACCAACTCTTCCTTTTATCTCTAAATTAGTGCTCGGGACCCAGTCTCTCCAAAGTTCTTCCTAGAAGGCTACATGTTTCCTCCCCCCTTTCCTTTTAACTATGTACAAGCATAGACAAAAAGAAGAAAAAAATGCCCTGGCTGGTGTGGCCCAGTGGATTGAGTGCAGGCCTGTGAACCAAAGGATTACAGTTCGATTCCCAGTCAGGGCACATGCCTGGGTTGCAGGCCAGTTCCCAGCAGGGGATGCACGAGAGGCAACCATACATTGATATTTCTCTCCCTTTCTCCTTCCCTTCCCCTCTAAAGATAAATAAAAATTTTTTTAAAAAAGAAGAAAAACAGAAAACGCACCATTCCTTTAGCATCACAACGCACTTAAAACCACACCCACACACCTGTGGTTCTACCATATTTACTATACAGGTTCTTGCCATGAAGAGACTTCAATTTTGAAAACCCAAGAGAAAGCACGAATGCAAAAGGTGAATCCTGAAATGCCCACCATTCACCCGGAGGAGCTGGAACACCCAGTGCTAAACCACAGGAACCGGAGAGGCTGGTGCGGCCGCTCTGGCCTCTAAGCACAGGAGGGTGAACAGCGAGCTCTTTCCCGAGGCTGCCAGGGCCTCGGTGAGCCCTGCAGCTGTTTGCATGTTCCCGTCTGTGGCTCCTGTGTGTCACCGGGTGCAATGCGCCTGCGGGTTAATATTTGTTGTTGGCTACATCCCAGATACAGATGGAAGCACTGTACTAACTTACTTAATTCACAAAACAACCAAAGGAGGTAGGTACTATTATTCCCCAATTTCACCGATGAAGAAAGTGAAGCCCAGAGAGGTGGAGTAGTTTTGTCGAAGGCCCACAGGGAGAAAGTAGCAGAGCCAGGGCACAAACTCAAGTATTTGGCTCTGGAGGCCACACTCCTTAATTTGGGTCTCATGGCCTTTACCTGCACCTGCAAGTTCACGTGTGGGACTCCCACTAGAGGGAGACTCTGTTGCTCTACAGCATTGTACTCGGCTCTCCTGCCCCTCTCGTAGGGCAGACCAGGCCCGCAGCTCCCTAAAGCACTGAACACACAGTTCCTCACATCCTTTTACAGGGAACATATAAAATCTCTGGACCATGGGCTTTTTTTTTTTTTAATTGAAAGAGGTGGATCTCTTTTCTCCATCTCTTTCTCTTCCCCAGGACAAAAAGTGTATGAGCTGAAAGAGCAAAGAGATGAGCAACAAAGGGAAAATGAAAAGCAGAGGAAGAATTAAGGTTAAGTTAAAAAAGTAACTAGAGTCATCAGGGAATTGCAAATTAAAATCACAATGGAGACACCACTTCACAGCCACGGGGATGGTCAAAACCAGAAAGGTGAACAGTGAGCGTTAATGAGGATGCAGAGAAACCGTAGTCCTCCTGCACTGCTGGTGGTGATGCGGAATGGTACAGTTGCTTTGGAAAATTGTCTGGCAGCTCCTCAAAAGGTTAAACCACACAGTTGCCATGTGACCCAGAAATTTCTCTGGTAGGTGTGCACCCAAGGGAACTGTCCGCACAAAATATGTACACGGATGTTCCTAGTAACATTCTTATTAACAACCAAAAACTGAAAAGACCCTAAGTGCCCCTTAATTGATGATGAATAAGTAAAAGGCGATGTATGTCCATACAAAGGAAAATTATTTGGCAAAGGGGGATGCAGTACTGAGTATTGGTAGACCTTAGAAGTAGTGGAAGAAGACCGTCACCAAAAACATATTCCACTGGTATTCCACACGTATGAAATGTCCAGAATAGGCAAACTACGTACAGAGACAGAAAGCGACTTGTGATTAACTGGGGCTAGGAGATGGGCGAGCGATGACGGGTGATGACGAGTAACTGCTAATGGGCCCAGGGTTTCCTTCTGGAGCTGGTGGCCAGGGCTGTCAAACTCCGTCCCTACTGTAACAGCCATTAAACCGTGCACTTTAAATGAGTGAATTGTATGGTAGGTGAACTGTGTACCAATAAAGCTGTCGTGTTTTAAGTAAGATTTAGAGACTGGTTACAAAGTAAAAATACTAGTCTATCCTAGGAGAATCTGTGTCTTTGTGAATGAGAAACCATAATTGCAGAGGCGGCAGAAACCCAAATCATTTAAAGGAGGAAAGAGAAACTATCAAGAAGAAAGGCCACATATATGAAAAGGTGAAGGGGAAATGATATCCATTTGACGGAATTCCACCATAGTGGACGCTCTGGGGTCCTATCAGCCACCTAAATGCATGGGTGTTACGCGGTGGGCTGCAGGACCGGAATTCAGACCTTTTCCTCCCCCAAAAGCTATCAGTTCCAAAAATATAAGAGGAGAAGTGAGATGTTTTTAATGCAAAGGATGAGTCTAACATTTTAGAGACTTAATTTAAAAGTTCACAAATGTAAGCCCTGGCTGGTGTAGCTCAGTGGATTGAGCACAGGCCTGTGAAGCAAAGGGTCGCTGGTTTGATTCCCAGTCAGGGCATGTGCCTGGGTTGCAGGCCAGGTCCCCAGTGGGGGACACATGAGAGGCAACCACACACTGACATTTCTCTCGCATTCTTTCTCCTTCCCATCTCCTCTCTCTAAAAAGGAATAAATAAAATATAAAAAAAAAGTTCACAAATATAAGGATTCTCTTGTATCCTGCATTCCATGTTCATGAAATAAAACTACTTGATAGCAGCTAGAATGTATTTGCTCAAATGAATTCAGAAACCCAACTGAAATTTAAGCGGAAGAAGTAAAGCCCTTACTTCTGGAGCTGAGTGTAAGGCCTTCGCAGACAGACCAGTGTGGGCCCTGTTTGTGATTCAGGCAGAATAATTTAAGAGTAAAGTGAAGGGTTTGCCAAGCTCCCAGGGTCACGCACCTACATATGAGACTTTGGCAGAAACCAGTGCAACCTCTGAGTAGAGTGAACACAGTCCCTTAATGTGGCGATATGTCGAACGGTGCTATGGGAGTTTCAAAGCTATCAGCAGATGCAGCATCAACACATTTTTTGAAATAGAGTCGTTAGCTGGTAGAGAATCTTCTTTACATTCTTTAGTCTTTACCTTTCAAACTATCACTAAGTCCTCTAGTCCCACCAGGCCTCTATCAAGCACCACTTGATAGAAAATCCGATTACTGCCTCCTTTATAAACCGGCAGGCCAGGAACTGACCCAATGTGGCCGCAGTTCTGGAGGACGTTTTTAGACAGGGGCAAATGATGCCTCTCGGTTTGTGTTCGAAGAAGCCAAGTTTAAGATTTCATGCATAAGCACAAAGAAACATTCCTACAAAGAAGCCTACAAAGTCAGCCAACAGTCATCTCTGTGTTTAAAGGGGACCCCCCCCCCACAAACTCCTTCACACCACTCTGCCAGTGGAAGTTAAGACATGAAACATGTTTACTTAAAGATACTTTCCCTGACTTGAAGTGCTCTTCTGAAGTCCTCCAAACCCTTGATATCATAATGTAAGTAATGCTCCTATGTCTCAAGGTCAGAATACAACCTTTTCCCTTACAAATTGTTGAGCTCAAGAGAGTACATCCCACGTTCTCAAATGTACCACTGTCACTTTTTTCTAAGTTTACTGCCATTAATTACCACACAGCATTTTATTCGGGCCTATGTGTTAGAAGCATCGAACTGTTCCCACCCCACCTGTTTGTATTCAGGTCCACAATGCACTCTTCTCGGAACAGCTGGTGATGGTTACCAGAGGCAAACAAACTGCATATTTCACTAACAGAAGATATGAGCTCTTGGGATGAAACCTTGTCCCCAAAGAATGCACCCCCTTCCCACCTATGTAGCCAAAGCTTGGTATTCCATTTCTGAAACTTTATTAAAATCTGGCTTTTAATAAAGGACAGTAATGTTGTTGCTTAGTTGGCTCCAATCAGAAAATGCATCTGTCATCTCTATTTCCATTTTCTTCCTCTGGGTGTCACAGCCTCAACCCGGGAGCCCCTCTGTGGGGGAAGGGCGCACTTGCCAGGCACGCAGAAAGAAGCAAGCCCCAGCCCTGGACTCCAGACGTCCGCTAAGTCCAGCAGCTTATGCTGCCAAGCCTGGAGAGGACCTTTCTCGTGCGTCCCAGCGCGGAAGCACTGCTCTGCTGGCCATGGGGAAAACCGGCCGGAGTAACCTATTCCTAGTCCTGGCACCCTGTGACCACTGAGAAAAGCTTAGTTTCTCTGGTCTGAAATTCTCTTATTCGCACAGAGCGTATTTAACCTCCCAATCAAGCAAAGGACAATGTCATCCTGCAAAAGCAGGCATAACTTTATGGCCACCACCGCGCTCTTCTTGGCTCGGTGAGGATTGTTATTATTTACCATCGTGCCTGCCGGCTCTTCCGGATGACAGGCTGGCAGAGCACAGGACTTTCAATATTATTTATGATGTGCGTCAAACCAGGGGGAGCGGGTGGTGGGGCGGAGGATTCAATCTCCCATGAAGAACTGAAACCTGACTTAAGCAAGTTCTCCGAGCTGAGCTGCGAGCACCAGTAACCCTACCCACCTCCTGATACACGAACGCCTGCACCGGGGGTACACCCGATGCGCACAGCCAGGTCAGAGCGGAGTTATCAGATCTACCTGTTCCAAACAGGTGCGGGGCCAGTCGCTCACCGAGAAAGAGATCTGAGTTCTGGCCCCCAACCGCACCTTTCAGGTCCCCCCGGGAAAAGTTAGGCCACCTCGGAGAACCCCGGTCCGAGAGGCACTAGTTTGAACTGAACACACTCACTCTTCCCCCAACACAGTCAGTCCTTTCCTCTTTGTAAACCCCACAAAGTGACGTACAGCAAAACTTAGTGGGTCCAGGGACGAGAGACGCGTCTTTCACAAAGCACAGACTTCCCAGAAAGGAGGTAGGAGGCAGCAGGCGCGGGATCCTTCTCAGCGCCGCCATCCCCTCGGGCTCCCCTCCCCCGCGTCCGCCCGGGCCGCTCACCTGCGTGGGACATGGTGATGGTCTCGTTGGTGTTGGAGCCCACGTTGAAGATGACCACGGCCGAGGCGTTCTGCAGGAACGCGTTCCGGATCTTATCCCTGTACGTGCAGTTGCCCTTGGGGATGAGGGCTATCCAGTTCTTGCCGTGGGCCGGGGAGGCGAACTTGGTGTTGGGGTCGCAGGCCAGGCGGTCGTGGGCCGAGCTGGCCATGACCACCTCCCCGCGGGCGTCCTGCTTGGGCGAGTGCTCCCCGTAGCGCCCGCACTCGGTCTTCTCCGTGTGCAGCTCCGTGCCGCCGCCCGTCGCCCCCGAGTCGGGCGCGGGCTCGGCGTAGGTGATGTTCACGAAGGCGGTGTACCATTCCTCCTTCTCGGCCACGGTGAAGTCCAGGCAGAGCAGATGCACGAAACAAAAGGAAAGCAGCCATGTTGAGAGAGCCAGACTGCGGCACGCTTGGATGAGAGACATTGCCATCTTTATCCGCCGGGGCCCCCTCCCCGCCCCCCCGCGCCCTCCTCCCCCGCCCCGGCCCACTCCGGGCCGGCCTCCTCTCTTGCTCCGGTCCCTGCTCACTCCCGGGCCCTGGGGACCGCGGCCGGGACGAGCAGCCGCCGCTGGGACCGGGTTCCGAGCGGGCGGGTGGCGCCGGCCCCTTCCCCTTTCAGCCCAAGCGCGGCGGTTGCATGTCGCTTCCCGGGCGTCGGAGCCGGGCAGGAGAAGGGGGCGCTCGGGGCTTGCGGAGGAGTCCAGCTGCCGAGCGTCCTGCTCCTTCGCCCGGCTTCTCCTTCTCTCATGGGGTAGCAGGGGGCCCGGGAGCGAGCGGGGTGGCGGCTCTGTGCCCTTCAGCCCCCGCGGGGGCGGTCGCGGCTGCTGGAGGCACCGGGTGCTGCCGGAGTGTCCCGGCCGCCGCTCCCGCCGCGCGCCGGTTCCCTGGCGCCGCGGCCGCTTAGCCCCTCGCTTCTTCCGCGGCCACGCAGGACGCACTTGCCGCGGGCGAGGTCGGCTCCGGGGAAGTGGGTGCGAGTGGTCAGAGAGCAGTACGCGGTCTCTGTGTCTGTATATGGTTGTGTGTGCGCGTGTGTTTGTCTGTGTGTGTAACGTGTGCGTGCAAGGAGGAGCTTAGTGTGATGTCAAAGATTCGGGGCTCCGCTGGCCACGCTCCCTGGGTCTCTCTTTATAGACAGCAGCGACCCCTGCTGGGTCTCCAGTTCAACCCAATCTGCGATTTGGATTAGGTGGAGGCAAAAGGGGAAGCAACCCCTTGACCTTTGCGTGCAGGAACAACTTCCTGTGTCTTAAATACAGTAAAATGTGTGCGCGCTTGCTGTGACAACCTTCTGGTTCGCAGGTGCAACTGCAGTGCGCTCCCTAATCACCTGTCCAACGGCCACAGGGTAAGGCCCGTTGGTAGAGAGGCCCTTCCCATGCCCGCCTGGAATATCAGTGACCATCAAATTTAAATGTGCATCATTTAAATGCACCTAGAGATTGTTCAAAGTCAGGCTGATGGGTCGTGCCCCAGAGTTTCTGACTTAGCACAGCTAGGTTAGGGCTCCAGAACAATGTATGCCTTTCTAACAAGTTCCCTGGTGATGCTGAGTGCTCCTGGTCTGGGGACCAGGCTGTCCAGGTGACTTAAGGAATGGGCTTCTTTCTTCCCACCTGGAAGCAAACCTGTGCTGTTTGTTTTCTTTTCAATGAGTGTCTCCCCTCGCCCTAATAGGTGTGTCCGACCCACAGCCTGCAGCCACAGGCGGCTCAGGATGGTTATGAATGCGGCCCAACACAAAATCGTAAATTTTGGGTTTTGGGGTTTTTTTCTTATCAGTTTTTGTTAGTGTTTGTGTATTTAATATGTGGCCAAAGACAACTCTTCCTCCAATGTGGCCCAGAGACGCCAAAAGGTTGGACACCCCTGCAAGGAAGCGGGTGTGATAGTTCTTCACTGTGTTTGTTCTGGTTGTCAGGCTGGTGACCGAGGACTCACAGCGTCAATTGGCAAGGGAGGGTTGTTTGGGTTGTTATTGTTTATGGTTGTGCAGAGAGATCGCAACCGCTCAGCAGAGAGTATGTTTCCTCCAGGGTAGTGTTTTTAAGACTGTGATACAGCGCAGTTTTTTCCAATTAAGTGTTTGCCTGGTTATTGCCCATTCAACACCAACAGTCTCCTTGGCTTGAGGTATGTGCCATCTAAAGTCTCTAAAGCAGTTTGCATGATGGTTCTCAGGCACTCACGTTATCCTTCCCATCTGGTGCTTTTTCAGACAACCCAGGACCCAATTCATGATGAGCACAAAAGTGCGCCTTCCCCTCAGGACCTTAGTAGTGTATAGGTTTCTGTGAATGACTGTTCACCTGCACGACTTCTCTTTTCTAAGGAGCAATGTAAACATCTGGTGCCTATACCCAAATTAGAAGCAGGCACAAGAAGAACTACTAAGAAGAATTTGTCTCCATGGTATTTGATGTGCTGGATTTGTGTGTTTTCATTTTAGAAAATAAGCTTCCAGGCAACTGAGATAGTGCTTCTTACAGTAAGTACCCAACACCATGAAGGCAAAAGCAGAGACCACTGGTTCCTGAACCACCGGAGACCTGAGGCATGAGCCCACTGGCTACCCCGACTGCCCACCCCCGGCCAGCAAGGTCCTGCCCTGATACCTTAGCAAGCCAAAGTGGTCCCCCAAAATGTCTCTGGGTCTCAGCAGTTCCTCTCCAGCCACAGTACACTTGGGGAACCTGTGTTGTTAAGAGTGCATGACTGCTCCTTACCCTTGTTTTCCCCTGGAAGTTAGAGGCCAAGGAGGGGGCAGCACCAAGAAGGCGCATCTGGCTGGGAGGTAGGTTAAGTGCAGGGGCCGCTGAATAGATAAGGAAACCATTGACTGTAATGGGAGCTGGGTCTCTTCGGGCTGAAGAAGGAATTCACAAATATGGGAAGAAAGAAAGTTATAAGGGGCCCTGAGGTGTTGGATTGGATTAAAAATGAGTGCAAATTATCATATATAGATGCATATATGTCGAGATATCTATCTATCAATCAATCTATATGTATATTGATAGATATAGATATATACATTGAGTGCAAATGACTGTAAATCAATATATACATACATATACCATAGCTATCTTCACTCAGAGGCTGGAAGCAATGGACACATCAAGTGGTCAGAGGGGCTTGGTTTCTAAATGCCACCCTCTGTTTTGGGGAATCAAGGCTGATTCCTGGGCTTGGGCTGGGAGAGTGTGAAGTGAGCTCGGAACCTCTGGTGGGGACATGTTCAGAGCGTGACGCTCAGGTGCGGACAGGACACACAAGCAGCTGGAGGGAGCTCCCACTGGCCAGACCTGGGACAAAATGAATAATGATAGTAACTGGTTATGTACCGCTGGATAAAATGGGAATCCATGCTAATGTAAGTGGATCAATAAATAATGCTCGAATAAATAAAACAAATGGGGAAGAAGGGATAGCTCTTCCTTGTCAAAGAATGTCAACCAAGACCGATGGAAATAGACAGTCGCCATTTGGCAATGTCGGCTCATTCAGACGGGGGTCCTCAGGGGGTGCTAAGGTTGGTGGGTGCTTGATGTGAAGCCGGACGTTAGCCTAGTCTTCAAGCATCTGAAAAGCACTTATTGATGACAAAGCAGGAAATGGTTAACCTATTGAAGAGCACCCTGGAGGACGTCAAACAGACCAAGTGATGGAGATGAGTGTCACCAGTAGTGACACTGGTCACACCACATGCCTCCCGTTGTGGTGTGCGGAGAAGAATGCGTCATCCTTCCCCATTGCATTCCTGCGGAGGGTGCGTGGCCTGACTCTCCTGACTCTCACTGTGGCAAAACTTTTCCATGGACTCAGAATGAAAGACATCGCACAAGATGAAACGTTTGTGTTTTTTAAAGCTCTTAAGCTTATGAGAGACAGAGAAAGATGAAAGAACTAATCAATCCAAATTGAAGGAACCTTAAGAGACATGATAACCAAATGCAACAAATGATGCTGGATTGGCTGCTGGATCAGACAGGAAACGTAAAGAGTTGGCAAAATTGAATGAGGTCTACAAATTGGCGATAGTGCCTCACCAACGCCAAATACCTGATCCAATGCTCATATTATAGCTGTGTATAAGAATGTCCTGTGTGTGGGCAGTGTACCCCAAAATATCTAGTAGTGATGAAGCATTCAGTCTGCACCTTGCTCTTAAGGTTCAGAAAAAAAATTATGATAACCCATAAGATTTTGGTTTCTACTAGCCACTATTTCAGAGAAGCTGAAATAAGTCATGATAAAATAAAAATTCAGAAGCCCACCATTTTGACCGTGGGGTGGGGGATGCTAATCTGTTTCCGGCTTTGTGCTGATGATTCTCTTCCTGCCCCGCTGCTCCTTGTCCCAGTTGCCTTACGTCACCCACGAAGCTGGGTGCATAAGAGGGAATAAAACACGTAAGGGTCTTCCCATCCTGGAGTTTACATTCTGAGATGGGAGAAACAGAAACACTTTAAATTTTAGATTGTGTAGGACAGTGCTATGAAGGAAAAGGCATGTGGATGAGGGAGGCTGGCCTATTCTATGTAAGGTGCTCTCTTGCATCAGGTTCAGCTCTTCTGATGGGGTGACTTTGGAATGAAATCTTGAAATGGGGAGGAGACCCATGTGCATATTTGGGGGACCATTTGTACCAGGAAGAGAGAACCGTGAATGCAGCCCCCCGAGACAAGATTGTGTGTCAGGTGCTTGAAGAATAGCAAGGAAACCATCGTGGTGCCAGAGAAAGAGCGAAGAAGATAGTACTAGAGAGACAGGAGGCAGATCCCGTGGGGCCTTGGAGTCCAGGGTGAGAACCCCTTGGCTTTCATTCTGAGTCAGAGGCTAAACCTTCAGTGAGTTTTAAGGAGAGAAGTGACACAGTCTAACATGTTTCGAAAGTTTATTCTGATGGTATTTGAGGAAGTGTGGAAGCAAGGAGAACGATCGGGGGTTAGAGCCATAATCTGGGAGGCAGTAAATAGGGCTGCATCAGGACAGTGGCAGTGAAGGTGGTGAGAAGTGTTTGGATCCTCAACATATTGTCAAGATGAAACAAACAGAATTCTCTGGGGCTACTGACATTAAATATGAGAGAGAGGGTTCCAGAAGGACTCTCCAGTTTGGAGCCTAAGCACCTGGCAGACTGGAGTTGTCATTATCTGATTGCAGGAGGACTTGGTTGGGCTAAGAATCAAGAGTAATAAACATACTAGGTTCCAGGTGCCTAGAGATGCCCAAACAGCAATTTTATATAATTCGCCTCAGCATAGTGGCCCAGACGGAAGATTACTGGATCAAAGCACATGAACAGTTCTCAAGTTATCAACACATCCAGGACAGCCAAATTGCTTTTTTGAGCACTGGCCTCCCTTAATCTGCCAGCTGCAAAGTAAAGGGAGCTCCCTAAAATAGTGTGTGAAACTGTTTTTAAAGATAGCTTAATGGTGAGTCCCTGCCTAAGTGGGGGTGGGGGGGTGGGACTTTCTTCATCAGCCAAGCGGCACAGGCCAAGGAAAATGAGTGAGGTGTCCCTGGGGCTCTTTGGTGTGTTAAAATAATATAAATAGAACCGCTTCAAAATGGAGTCAGTGCTGCCATCCAGGAAAACCTGCCTTGCAGGTCTCACTCCTCAAGACTTTGGAATGTTAAAACTGGGCAAAATAATCTTTGGACTGGGACTAAAGAAGGCCCAGGGCTGGGCCCACTGTCTGCCACTGTTATGTCCGGAAACATAACAAGAAAGCAGGTATCAGGACCATAGCGTCAAAAATTGAAGGTGCTCTTTAGAATTAGCCTTACTCTATTAGCTTATCTGTATCTACAGAAATTCCTTCCTTCTCTTCCTCCTAAGCCCCTTTGCCTCTGCCTCCTAATCAGAACACGATTCAGGTTTCTGCCTAAATCAGTGCTCCCTGAATCACTGTTCTTTTTGGATTTCAAAGTAAATGTCATTGCCTCTCACTTTGGCTTTTATTTTTAGGTGAACAGGTGGAGGGAGGTGTTCTTATTTTCATAAAGGGTAGAGACAGATTTGACTTGAATGCGTGCAACGTGA